AAATCCCCACCAAAAAACCACCTAATTGCTCCCTAGTTGTAATAATGTAATAATGAACTGAACAGAAGCAAACATATTTATACAACTCCTGAAAGCAGTTTGTAACCCACTATTAAGTTTCTTCAGTACAAAAACTTCTTGTAAAGCCAAGGACATCCAATCGTCCTTCAGACATGCAATTTCAGACTAGACTACAGTGACATCTTATGCTGTCAGTGTCTGCTAGGAACTCTATCCTCCATCAGCTTCTTTAAAGAACATTCTTATCTTGCACAAAACTGCTGCCTTCAGAGTCCTGGGTGCTCATCAGCACTTCTAATGAAACCTGATCTGCAGATAATCACGGGGCAGAACAATTCTAGCTGTAAACAGACTACAACACTGGAATGATTTTTAAAAAGCAGTGTAATCAAGACTAGCTGTGTCATAGCTTATACAGTTTGATGAAGCAGTGTATCCACACAGACATCAGTTTAGATGGTGACATATCAGCTGTGGGTGTGGCAGTGGGCAAAACTAGCAAGGAGCAGGCTCTGCACACTGCAATGATTGGTAACTTCTCATTGAAGCTTTCAAAACCTGCCTGGAACTCCAGCCCACCTGGAGGTAACAAGTTTACACACACAGGATTGCAAAGACAGTCATCAGCCTAAACAAATTATTGTACATAAAACACATTACACATAGTTTTCACTCTTGCTGTTTGAGCCCAGCCTCGCATATTTAATTATTTTCTAAAAGATGGTCTAAGTGGCTTTATCATATACTGTGATAAAAAAAAAAGTTATTTATGATAAGGGAGGCCACAATTTATTTATATTACCTATATTTATTTATAGGTAAGGGAGGTCACAATCTCTCTGTAACTTAAGCAAGTTGCTTATACCTGAAGGGCAAGTTTGTGTCAAAAATGAGCTCCTGTTAGCACACGCAGTTGTGTCCATAGGACAGAATTGCTATAAAAATACAGAAAGTTGCACTGTCTTGCTGTTATACCCATCCACGCAGAAGTAAAACACAAAATGAAACTAAATATGATAGTGAATTGCAAAACAAGAAAGAAACAAAATTTTTATGCTAGAGATCCAACTCCTAAAAATACAAAATATTTTTGGCAGCTACTCATGACCTTAAACCAGGGTTACCAGACTGATACTTTCTATTACATCCGTCTCCTAGAGCAGCAAGCAAGGATCTGAGCCCTACTGAAACAAGTTAGGAAAGGCTGCTCCTGCCCTAAAGAGGTCAAGAGTCAGGTTACAGGCAGCAGGTCACTAAACAAGGAAGGATTAAATAAAAAAGACACAAGCCAATAACATATTAATTACTGGCATTCTAGCTGGTCACAGATCAGGACTCTTACAACACAGGAGCTTGAATCTGATTCCTAAGATGTGGATTATTACCATAATAACTGAGCTCTTTAAAGTTGCTCAAAATCACAGGACAGTCTGGTTCTGGGTAGAATCAAGAGAGTCTTAATTCTGGGCAGAATTAAGAGAGGAGTCTGAAAAGAACATGAGCTCCATCATGAAATAAAAAATACTGTGATGTTCCAGAGATGTTCAAAACCCTTGTCTATCTTGACTATCATAGCTTGCTCTCTCTGTGTAGCATGGATACATACAGCACACACATACTCTGCAACTCTGCTGGCCTTATTCTGCTAAAGATGCTTTAGTGCAAATCAGTCCTCCAGTTCTTAAAATTCATTTGCGCACTCTCTTTGCAAGGAAGTCCCAAATATTCTTTAAAGTAGAAGCATGTTATCTCTGAAATCTTGAGATAAAGTCTCTAAGCATCAGTTTAAACCAAGAAGCTGGTCTTATCATAGGTTGCATCTTGGGTCACATCAGTCACACAGTCCTGTGGCCTACACAGGGTAAGCAGGAAACTGAAAATTAACTGTGAGAGCAAATTCTCAGTTATGGGATTCTGCTGTGCACCTTTTGAAAAGCTACAAGTCAGAAAGGCTCTTCTACAAAAGCCTACACACCTCTAGTCTGCACTGACTCCTCTTCCTTTGGACTCAACATTCCACAGGAGAGAGTGATCAATCAGCCAAATCCAACCCAACTCCCTGCCTTGCAGAAAGGGTTGGCTTATGGGCAATTGTGAGGGAAAGCCAAGCAAGTGAAATTCTTCTGTGCAGTTGGTTAGGGAAATTTACTCATTTTATTCCTGAAACACAAGTTTCCTCATTTTACATTACTTCACTCCCTTTGTTGAACAAACTCAACTTCCTTGTCATGTCTTCTGTTGACAAGCCCAAACCGTGGCTGACCTTTTCAGACAGAGGCAGAGAGATCTGATTATTTTTTTTTCAACTGTGCTGCAAATCAGTATAATTGCTCCTGCTGCAGCAACATCTGCCTTTCCAGATACTGAGAAAGCAGAAACTGGAAAGCATCCTGCTACATAATGGAATTCTGAGATCCAGAAGACAAAAGAAATGCTTGTAAAAACTTCTCTGATCTTTCCCCCATCCCAAATTTTTTCTTTTTTAAAGCACAAACCATGTAGCAGAAAAAAACCCACATAACAGAAAACAGCTCTTCCATTTCAAACCAGTTTAGACACTTAAGAGCTGTATGTGTTTATGTGCCTTTTGTGCTTTGTACTTAATCAATATTAATACCAAAAGATGCATGCTATAATTGTTCAGATTTGCATTCTTTTTGTACATTCTGCAATTTATCACACTAAATTGTTACTAAATTGATGGTTTTGCTATTTAAAGGCTCTTGTTCTAGTTTTACATGCATGACATCCAGTTGGCAACTATTTCTGCAGTGGAGTGACAAACATTTTAAAGCTCTTAAACCATAGTACTGCTAAATAAGAAGGAAAAAACCTAACAAAGCAATGGCACGATCCTACAGAGAATAATGCCTGTTCAATTATAACAAAAGGAATAAAACAACCAAACGTGATGTGCTTACCTTTCTGCACATACCTACTGAGAACGTTTGGACTCATTATATGCAAATGTAGAGTAAGAGTTCTCATGTCCATTTCATCCACATTCAAGTCAACTGGCTAAATTTTTTCTCTCAATGGGCACATACTGAGCCCCTGAACTATCCTTGGCTTCAAATATACAACACTAACTCAAATCTATCAATGAGAACATTGGCAAAATCACTACATTCTGCTACTCCAAAGGAACAAACTGGAAGTAGAGGAAGCAGTGAGAAAATTTGCTTCAGCTATCCTGCACAGTAAAATTCAGCACCCTTGTCATGCACCACACAACTTGTGCTGAAATCAACATGAGCTCTGGGTCTGTCTGAGATTTGAACTTGATTAACCGCACAATTTATACAACAAGGAAGTTACCATCTCAAACTGACTAACAAAACATTGTGATCAAATAAAAAAATTGCTTCCTCAGTCTATGCAACATTTTCGAAGAAAATAAAGAGGGTAATGCAGCCACATGTCTTCTGAATCTGATTTGTTGCTCTAACACAAACACAGACCCTGACCACCAGCTGTAAATCGTTGCCAATCAGGTGGCAGCCAGCGGGGCTGTATCCGAACCTCAACAACTTTGAAAATAACACTGCAATACAAAAGGCTTAACCTGCTAAATTTGTTTTTCCTTTCTCACATAACGCAACAATCCCAGTCTCACCAAAACGTAATTGCATAACAAGATAGCCGTATGTAAAGTTTGAAGGAAAAAAATAGTCTTAATTGCAAATTAGCGCTCAGGGCACACGTGAATGCTGTTCCGTTCCACGCACAACTCTACCAAAATCCAGCTGCACAGGACTCCAGGCTCCCAGCACTTTATTGCCTACACCGGCAGCTATCCTGATCTCAGCACTGCCATCTAGGAGAGAGATGATGGCCCGTACCGCGGGCCGCCTGGAACATCAGCTCCCAGGCAGCAGCATTCCCGGAAAGCATCGCAAAGCTGTTGCTGCTGCTAAAATTTTAACTGCAGCCGGTAGTTAACTCGCGGCTGTGCCGGTTCGGAAGCAGCCTTCACAAATCCCCCAGCCCTTCCCAAGCGAGATCCGCCAGGCGCATCTGCTCCGCGTATCTCGGCGTTGTGCGGCGCGGGAGAAGCCCAGCCTAGTGCGCGCCGCCGCCGCCGAGCCCTGCGGGCGCGGAGCGGAGCGGACGGCCCGGGGTGCGAGCGGCGCCGGAGGGGCCGGGCTGCGGCC